ATTGTGTAGTACAAAATAGATCCAAAAGCCATTTGCTTAACCACTGATCTGTATTATTAATAAATTCTACCAATTCATATGGCTAAGGAGGATTTGTTCCACTTACACTAATATCTAGTTTGGAACAATCCCCTACCTATACATATGAAATAACAGACTGTAGGCCGGAAAGCCTGCAGTATCTGTAATACCAGTTTTTGGGAGGCTGAGGCAGGAGGACGGCAAGCTCCGGGCCAGTGGGGGCGACACGGTGAGTTTTAGGCTAACCTGTACCACGAGTGAGACTGTGTCAAAGTAAAACCAGGCAGCACAACATAAACGAACAAGATTGTGGAATGACAGGTATACATGAGTCACGTAACACAGATTCACAAAGACCAGAAAAGAGCCAGTCTTCCTCAAGGATTCACATTTTCTTTTCATTTGCAATACCCCGGCTCATCCACCCATCACCTTGGCTCTCACCAGCTCCCATTTCCTCTCGGAGTCTCAGATTTCCTTGTGTCCTACAGTTTATGCTCGTCGGCGTACTTGTAAATACACTGAATGTAACAAGCTCAAAACTGAATCCTCCCTAAGATGCTTCGGGCCCTATTTTGTCTTGGCAGGTTTCCCTTGACTAAATAACCCAAAGCCAGAGCCCAAAGCTGACACTGAACTCTTCTCCTGGCCTCCCCCAGGATTATCAATTGCACCCGAGAAGTGTGTGAGTCGCTCCACCCATCACTGCCCTCCACCGCAGCAGTACCAAGCCCAAAAACTGCAGCTTCACCCTAAGTCATCACCCGCTTCCTGGGGTCAGCTGCCAGAGAAAACACACTAACACAGATCTGATCTTTTTCCTTTAAGAAACGTTCGGTTTTTATTGTACGTCTGCAGCAAAGATTGGTCACATTTCCCGAGAAACCTACCACCACTCCACGGAGTTTAGAAACCTTCCCTTTGCATAAAAGGTTCTTTGCAACCAGATGGCGGCCACCCTGCCCCGCTACATCTCAACCTGCTCACCTGCAGCCTCGAACAGCTCACTGTTACACTTCTGCTAAAAAGAAAAAGAACTTCCTCTCAGGAGCCCTAATCCAAAGAACTGTGACTTCAGAAGAGCTGGGAAGGTCTCTCTTAGCCCGGGGCCCTGTGACTCCTGAAATCTGCAAAGTCTCCATCAAAAAGAAGGATCTCAAAATACAGATGTCTGATCTTCAACTTCCCAGGCTTCTGAACCATGAACCAATAGATTTCCTCTCTCTCTCTCTCCCTCTCTCTCTCTCTCTCTCTCTCATACACACATCATTCCTGTTCTGTTTTGAGACAGGATTAATCTGTGTAGTTTAAACTGGCCTTGAACTCACTAAGCAGTCCAAATTGGCCTTATATTTGTGGTGATCCTCCTGCCTCAGCCTCCCAAGTGCTAGGATTATAGGCATGCACCACCATGCTGGGCATATCATATATACTTTAATTACATAAAATATCAAATTGGAAAGTAAAATAGTAAAATCTCACCTTTGATTGTCTAACCATCTAAGGGACATATACACCCCCATCCCCAGATGGAATTCATAATGCTCTACTTCCTAAGAAGCTTAAAGTTAGGTTATCCCATAGGTGATCTGGATAAATAGCATTCTAGGACCCATAATTCCATTTTACAAAATGGCTTGAGGATGAGGGATGGCATTAAAGTCAGGGGCAGAGTAAAAGAGCTAAGAGCACACACTTTCTTTCCCCTCATTCCCTTCTTTATCTGTTTACCTCTTCTGTTTAAGCCAATGCCTCACTCTTATACTGTACAAAATAAAATTCCAACACATGAAGAAAAAGATAAAGTAGAAATATAAACAGCAGGGGCTGGGGATTTAGCTCAGCGGCATAAGCACCTGCCTTGCAAGCAGGCAGTCATGAGTTCGATCCCCGGTACCGATAAAAAAAAAAAAAAAAGAAAGAAAGAAATACAAACAGTAAATCCAAAAAAATCAAAGGGATAGAAAAAAAATTTGCAAATCAGATTCAATAAACAGAATTTAAAGTTATATTTTCCTTTTGTTTAAAGGCCAGAATGCAGGGCCTGGGATTTGGCTCAGCAGCATAAGCGCCTGCCTCACAAGCGGTACAGTTCTGAGTTTGATCCCTGGTACCAAAATAAAACATAAATAAATAAACAAAGGCCAGAATGCTTGGGCCAGGGATACAGCTCAGTGCCCCAAACACCTGGCAAGCACAAGGTCCTGAGTTCAATTTCTGTTACCGGGAAAAAAAAAGAGAGAAAAAGACCAGACTGTGGTAGGAGACAGAATAGGCAAAACTGGCCGGGACGTGAGCGGGACTTGTCACTTACAAAATCCCAAGACACTGAGAGGAGCCTGTATGTATGGAGGGACCTGTCCATTGTAAGACGCCAAGGGTGAGGACCCCACTCTGTAGGATGTCACCAGGGCTCCTGAGAAGAGGTAGAGGGGGGCAGCCCTCAGGGAAAGCCACTGTCCAGCACGAGTTTGCAACCGTGGCCCTTGCAGCTTTCTCAGACACAGCATGTACTTTTATTTTTGCTTTTTATTCTGCCTTTTCTCCGTTCAGCCCAAGTTCGCTCTACAGAGCTGATCTTCTCCATTCTATTTACCTTGTGTTATTCAAAGAAACTTTTGGTACCATTATTTGGCTTGTCTCCTCCAATTCTTTGTCCGGGGCAAGAAGCACCTGGAATAGTTTTGACTACCGAGCCATTTTTAAAGGAACCACCCTATAACAAGAGGAAGTGTTCTCACAAGCAGTTAAATTATCCTCTACCCTAACTGCATTTTCATCAAATCTTGATACCCAGAGCCGCCTAAACAGTGAGCACAGAGGCAGTATGAGACTAGAATAATAGCATGGCCTTAAAGGGTCAGATGCAAAGTCAAGTGTAACCTTCACTTGACCCCACAAGTTCTGCCACTTACTAGGCATCTAACATCTGCAACTTTGGATTCAGGGCCCCCAAAATGAGAATAACGAGGATTAAATAAAATAACATGTACGGAAAGCACTTAGCATATTGCATGACACAGAATAAGCATTCAGCATTCAGTAAATCATATATGCTTTTGTAATGATGTTCCTTAAATATTAATTTTCATAATTAGGGCATTTGTATAAAATAGAGTATTAACAGTCTGAAATTCAAAGCTGTTATACACTTAGTGATATTAGTGATTTCCAAGATATATATACTGTAATATATGTGTAATTTTCCTCCCAATTCTGGAGAGTCAACATGGCACCTTGTCAGTGAGCTACCTCCCAAGCCCTTTTTATTTTCTGTCTTGAGACAGGGACTTGCTAGGTCTCTAAATTGCCAGGGTTGGGTTCAAACTTGAAATCCTCCTGCTTCGGCCTCCCAGAGTGCTGAAATTTCAAGCGTGCAACATCATACCCAAATTCTATAAAATAGATCAAATGAAAAAAAGAAATTAAGAGTTAATAGGAGGATCTCTGTGAGTTCAAGGTCAGTCTATGCTACATAGTGTGCTCAAGGCCAGCCTGAAATAAATAATGAGACCCTGTCTCAAACAACAAAAAAGTTAATACAATTAACTGCTCTATATACATAAGAATATTTAGTATTTTACCACTTGTATTTTTTGATAGATATTTATCTACATATATATTTGTACATATATAGAACGTCTCTGAAAGAATACATTAGAAACAAGTTTTAGAGAAAAACAAAGCTGCTAATACAAGGACAGAAGATAACCTTACATTTTACAATAATCTCCATGTAACTTTTATCTTTTGTACCCATTTGCCTTTATCGAGTATTTTAGCCCATTTAATTTTTGCAGTGTTGGTGATCAAACTCAGGACTTTGAACATGCTAGGCAAGCACTCTACCACTAAGCTACATACCCAGCGCTATGGACAGTTCTAAAAATAGAATAAAACGTGTATTATGATCCACAGTGTAACTACCAAAGTATATCATTATTCATTAAGTGCATTGAATCGATCTTTGTGGAAAAGGCTTATTGTATACATATGTATAGGGGAGGTTGTTTTGTTTTGTTTTTACTCTGGGGCGCCTTCCCGTTAAGCTGTATCTCCTTTTTTTGTGTGTGGAGGAGGGGTCAGGGTCTGTTAAAATTACTCTGTTGCCCAGGTTGGGCTCAAACTTGTGATCTTCCCAGAATGTTGGCCTTAGAGGCCTGCACCACCACCCACGGCTAAAGTACATACTTAAGGTATAATAGCTTATGAAATTATATAACAGAATGCTTTTAGCCGAGAAAAAGTAAAGTGTAAGGATGTGAATGGGTGAAGGCAATGAGAACTTCATTCAAAAACTGCACCTAACCATCAAGTGTATTTTATTTTTATTTTTATATTTTATTTTTTGGTACTAGCAATTGAACTCACAACCTCATACCACTGTGCTAAATCCTCTTCCCTATTTTGGGGGGGGGGGGTTTTCACCTAACCATCGTGGTCCTTGCATTGAGTGACCTGCATTGCAAAGGACACCTTACGTCTACAGCAGTAAAATGAGCATTCCTGTGGTTACTCAAAATATGCATTCATCCATTCGCAAACAACCGAATGAATGAAGAAAAGCTCAGTGGCAAAGGACACCGCCGACAAGCCCCCAGTAACATCGAGAACCCACCCGTGCCTGGGACCGGGCTTCCAGGGACACGATCGGTGTCCCGGAACCCGAGAGCAGCGGCCGCCGCGAGCCAGCCGGACGGGGGACCGCGGGGTGCGGGGACGCAGACGCCGCGCGCGCCCCGACCCGGGCTCGGCTCCCCCAGCTGCTGGGAAAGAAAGAGGGGTCCCACCCTGCCCCTCCAAGGGGAGCCCCTCGCTCTTGCACCTTCTTCGGCATTCTGGGCTCCGAGGTGGGCAGGAGGGAGAAAGGGGAGAAGGCAGCCGCGCCGCCGGGGGACCCTCATCTCCGAGGAACCGGACAGCAGGAGGCGGCGGGGAAGGGGCGCCCGGCCGCCCCTCCAGCCCGGGCAGTCACTGACCTTTCCAAAGGGGCCTCCCAGGGGCGGCGGCCGGAGCGGCGGGAGCTGCGGCCCGGGCCCCGCGCCCCACACAAGTCCGCCGGAGCCGGCTCCGCGCTAAGGAGCGCAGGCCGCCCGAGGCCGCCCAGGAGGCCGCCATCTTGAGCTCCGCACCGGGGAGGAAGAGGAAAACTTTATTGAAAGCCAGAGGAGAGTGCTGGCACGGTCAAGTCCAGCTGTGCTCAGGGGACGCTCCGCCCGAGAGAAGCGAAGGGAGCAACCACGGGAGGTGACCTGTAGTCACAAGGCGGGGGTTAAACTCTGTGCCCTTCAGTGGACTCTTGTGGACAGGTCCAGCCCGGACTACGACTCCCAGCATGCAGTGCGCTGCCGGGCGAGCTGGGCGGGGCACTGGAGGGGGCGGGGCCTGGGGCAGGGCGCTCCTGATGGAATGGGCAAGGTTGCCTGCAGCCTAAACTTGTCAAGGCCTCCGGAAGTTACTAAGTCACTCAGTAACCAGGACACAGCCTTTTAAATTAGCTCATGTTAACATATAGGGGGTCAAATAGACTATAATATTTTAAAGAACTATTGATGTCACCCTGTCACAGCTCTCCTAAAAGGTAGCTCCAAATCTTTTTCCTTTTTTTTTTCCTTCCTCTAGCATCCAGTGCAGCTTTGGTCAATACCTGGAATATGCGCCAACCATTTACCTTTTGGTGTTTGAATAGCATCAATCATTCAAATGACTTGAGCGATTTTATAAGTCAAATGGGGAAACTGATGGTCCATCAGTTAACTAAGATCAACATTAGTGGGTTGAATAGTCATGGTATTATGTAACGCTGAACCTAGAGGCCAGGCCGCAGGTGCCCACAAACGTTCCGTACACTGCTGCTGCTGTTCCTCTTCTCACGGTCATTTCCTGAAGTGGAAGAGGGCGCCCAGTACCTAGTTCCCACTTCTCAGCTCAGGAGATGGCAGCTGTGGCCTTCTAGCTGCCGCGGTGTTTACAAAAGCAGCAGCCTTTGCTTCGTCTTCTCCCGGCAGCGTCCAGTCCCTCAGTGAGTTTCGCTGGCTCTGCCTTCACGATGATCCGGAACATCAGTTTTCAGTACCCGTACTGCGACCACAGACAGGGCTCCGAGTCTCCATCACTTCCTTCCCGAGCGGTTCCTCTCCCCTTGCTTCGGCTCTTGATCTGTACTGTCATTAAAAATCCCGAGTTAATCACGCCGTTCCTGTGTTAAACACCCACTAGCACCTTCCCTGCACTGTCACCAAAACAGCCTGTGAGGCCTCATGATGCCCCAGATGCTAACAGCCCTCTCTAATCCATCTAGGACAACTGTCTTTTCCTCCTTGCCCACCCACATGGGATTTCTTGCCACTGCTGGAACCCACAAGCCTGGGTCCTGTCCCCAAATCTTCTGCATGTTCTAGTCCATCTGTTTGCCAAGATACCTCCTTGAGTCACTTCCTCATGTCCTGATACTCTCACAGTTAAAGCCTTTCTTTACTACTACTATATAAGGTATTACTACTACTTTATGTAAAATTACACTCTTGGGGATTTAGTTCAGCAGCATAAGCGCCTACCTGGCAAGTACAAGGTCATGAGTTCGATCCCTGGTACCACCAAAAAAAAAAAAAAATTACAATCTTGTTCACTATTTCTTTTTTCTTAGTTTTATTTTCTCCATAACATTCACAACCATCTGGCATAATACTACACCTTCTTCATTGACTGATGAGCTCATTATATGCTCTTACTAAAATTCAATCTCCCCGTAGGTTGGGATTTATTCTGTTTTGTTGCTGCCCAGACCTAGAGGAATATCCAGGTTACATGGGATTTGATAAATTTATCTTTGTTGCTTCCCCACACCCAGTGCCAGAGATTTTCTTTTGTTTTTCGAACTCACTGTGTAGCCCAAGCTGGCCTCAACCTTGCCATGATCCTCCTGCCTCAGCCTCCAGTGTGCTAGGATCATGCCCAGTGCTCAGCTAGTGCCATGGAATGAACCCAGATCTTGCACATGCTAAGAGGTAAGCACTGTACCACTGAACTACATCCCCCGCCTGGTTTTTTGTTGTTGTTGTTTGTTTTGTTTTGATTTGATTTTTGTTTTTCCCAAGAGAAGGTCTTGCTATGTTGTCCTGGCTGGCCTCAAACTCCTGGGTTCAGGGGATCCTCCCATCTCCCCCTCCCCAGCAGCTATAGACATCTGCCACCACATCTAGAGTTTTCAAATTTGAATCACATAATAATATATACTTGTGCTTACTGTTACAGGCAGCTGAGTTAGTTAGAAATATAACAGGCAGTCAGACAGGGCTGGGCCTCAAAGGAGCCAGAGCAGAAGTCCAGTTGCAATCTGGGAAGAGACCATCACCTCCTGCTGTGGGCCAGATCTCAAGACAAAAGGCAAAGCAAATATACCCACATCCTAGGGATTGATAGTCCAAGAGTTCTCTGTCACCTGAGGAGGTCAGGAGTCACCATCCCAACCCCCTGCAGGAAGAGTCACTGCTGTTAAGCACGCCTGCTTGCTATGTGACTCACTTCCCCATGTGTCCCCGATTTGGTCAATTTTCCCTGAACTGTTTATCTTATTGGTTGACCACAGTTCTGTCCCACTCATGCCCACCTTGGGAGTTCCCATTTTTCTCCACCTTGGCCCTGTCTCACCTTGTGGTTTTGCTCTATAAAAGTCCCTAGAAAAGGCACAGTCCCTGGCAGCCTGCTCAGGACGCTTCCATCTCTCAGATGGAAGATTTCTTTCTCTCAATAACTGCTCTTAACCTCTGTGCTCCTAAAATTCATTCTTCAATTTTAGAGAACATGGTTCGTACCGGACATGTAGTAGGTTGGGAGTTTCATTCCCCTATATCATTACCAACATAGTTTTTCTTAAATATTCTGTATTTAAATTTTTAGGGAGGGTTAAAAGGCTTTCCTCACACAATTGTCCACATGCTTCCCCAATGTCATTCTTTTAAAAATTGCAGTAGCCAGGCATGGTGGCAAACACCTGTAATCCCAGCACTCAGGAAGCTGAGGCAGGAGAATGTGCAAGTTCAAGACCCGCCTGGGGTACAAAGAGAGCTCATGGCCATGCTGAACTGCATAGTGAGACCCTGTCTCAAAAGACAAAAAAAAGGTGCAGTAAATTGTGCGGTGGTGGTGCGTATTAGTAATCCAGCACTTGGGAAGCTAAGGCAGAAGGATTGCCACAAGTTGCAGGCCACCCCAGGCTGCATAGTGAATTCAAGGCCAGCCTGCATTACAAAGCAAGACTGTCTCCAAAAAAATTAAGAATTGAAACCTTTTTTTTCTTTTTTTTTTTAATTGGTACTGGGGATGGAACTCATGACCGCCTGCTTGCAAGGCAGGTGCTTATGCCGCTGAGCTAAATCCCCAGCCCAAAAAATTAAAAATTAAAAGAAAATAAAATGAAATAAAATAAAATGGCTTACGTCCCTCTATGACCATTAGGCTCCCTTTGGTCCTTTCAGAGGTCGGTACAGTAACCTCCTAACTGTGCCTCTCTTTCCTCTCCATCTTCTCCATGTCCTGGTTCTTTGATTCTCCAAGATACCACGTGGTTCACTTTCTCATGTCCTGACATTCTCACAGTTAAGACCTTGCCTTACTGGTTGACCATGAGAACCATGCCATTCTGCTATTAGATGTGACTTTCCAAATATGCGACTATCCGACCACATCTTTTCTGTCTGTATATTTGCAGTGTCTCCCTAATGGCTGCAGAATGAAGCACTATTTATTTATATTGAATTTTTTTTTTCTTTTGGAGACAGGGACTATGTACTTTAGGCTGGTTTTGAACTAACTATGTAGCCCAGGCTGGCTTGAAACCATCCTCCTGCCTCAACCTCCTGAGTGTGGGGATTACAGGCATGAACAATGACACCAGCTATGTTAGACTTGCTTTACCAAGTATGCTATGTGCTTTCATAAATATTTGTGTTTTCTATGATAATAGGGATTGAAGCCAAGGTCTTCACACTGAGCTATACTCCCAACACTTTTGTTTTGAGTCAGGATCTCTGTTATAGTTTATATATAGTCGTCCCCCCAAAGCTTCAGGCACTCATTGGTGGAGATTTTCGTTTTTTGGTACCGAGGATCAAACTCAGGACCCTGTGCTTGCCAACAGGTGCTTGTGCCGCTGAGCTAAGTCCCCGGCTGGGAACTTTTGGAGCTGGTTGGATGTAAGCTGTGTGAATATGGAAAAAGGGTGTGTGATAATAAATAAATCGGTTTAACACAGCTTTAAGTGTGGATAATGGGAAGCCCTACACTGGGTGTGAGTGGCACCAACTGTCTTGGTTATTTTTCTCTCCTTGCTGAGACAAAATACCTGATGCCCAAATAAAAGAGAGAAAGGTTTATTTAGCTCAGGTTTTGGAAGTTTTGGTATATAATCAGCTGGCTACAAGGCAGGGTGGCATGGTGGGGGGCAGCAGTTGTTGGCAGGCAGAAGACAGCAAAAGTAACAGGAACAAACGTGGGTGGAGAAAGCCCCCTTTTCCTCCCTTGCACTGTAAGCAGAATGCGTGTGGCACTCACACCATCCCCATGCCCTCCTCTTGCACAAGATGAGGATGCTTACAAAGGCGGGACCCTGGTCCCCTGCTAAGGGGCTTAGTAGCTGGATGCAGGAGAGGGAGAAAGATGAAAGACAGGCCCCCTGCTGCCTCGCTGCTCTCTGCCTTGGAGCCAGTGACTACAAACTAAAACCTCTCCAAACTGTGAACTGAAACTAGTTTCCTCCTTTGACTTGTGAGTATTGGGCATTTTGTCACAGCAGCAAGAAAAGTAAGACAGTCTCCCCTAAACTGCACAGCCTGGGCTCCAACTTTTGATTTCCCTGTTTGTCAACCTCTCTGTGTCAGTACTGGGATTCTAGCCATTCACCACCATCCCAGTTCCTATGCAAATATATTTCCAGGAAAATCGATCCTGTCCACCATTTGACACCACTCCCTTATTTCCTCAGCATGTGTCCTGATTTTTATTAGAAAAAAATCATTTTAATAAAAAGAATTATAGGCTGGTCCAAAGGTAGTGACTTATCTCAATTGATTGTTCACAGTCAGTACAGATTGAACTCCTTGTTCTACTCTTCCCCCCCTTCTCTCTACTGCACTTGACTCATCTAAAAAAATAAATAAATAAATAAAAAGAAAAAGAATTATAAAAACTAATTAAATTTTAGTATTTCCAGGACAACCCCAAGAATGTTCTTTGAGACATGATATTATTATTGACATCACTGTTAAGCAAACTTTTTATACATTTGGTACCGAGGACTGAGCCCAGGACCTTTGTACTGAGACATATTCTCACCCTCCC